GCTTAACTGGCTTATAAGCAGGTGAGTGTTCGTTCCACTGGCAGTGCGCAGCTCACGGGCAAAACGCAGCGCATGGCGGCCGGGAGCAGGAGGCGCTCAGACTTGCTGACTCACAGCGATCCGCAGCTGCCGGTGCTTCCAGGAAAGTGCGAGGCAGTCGGCAGATTCCGTCGCTTGCACAACGCGCGGGGGGGGTGGGGGGGGTTGGCTAGCACGCAGGAAACAGCGCACAAGGGTGATGGGCTGGACTGTGGGATAGACACACAGCCGCGGGGGGAGGGGGGATGGGGGCAGGTAGAAAGTGGATGAGAAGACTGGGAGGACATAGACAACGAGAAGGTACAGGGAGAGCCAAGAGAAAAAGAGGAGTAAAGACAGAGGGAAAGATGGAGAGACAAAGAACAAAGAAAGAGAGGGAGGGAAAATGAAATGGGGGAGGGACGGCTCCCCTATTGCCAGGGAAGGTCCTCCTCCAAGCCAGATCCTGCTGTCCCAGTTTGCTCTCGAGATCAATCCCACTCTGCTGGACCGGGGCATCACAGCTGCAGAACACCTGCGGGTGCAGCCACACAGCCAATGCAGTGCAGTGCAGCACCAAGCCCCCAGCCGTGCGGCTTCTAGCCCTATGGCCCAAGTCCAGGAGCCTTTTAGCACAGCGGCCCCAAGTTCAGGAGCCTTTAGAACAGCGGCCCCGAGTTCAGGAACCTTTTAGCACAGCGGCCCCGAGTTCAGGAACCTTTTAGCACAGCGGCCCCGAGTTCAGGAACCTTTTAGCACAGCGGCCCTGAGTTCAGGAACCTTTAGCCCAGTGGCCCCTAGCCCAGCACGCCTGAGAACACAGCATCTCACTACCGTATAGGAAGGGATAGCCGATGATCACCACACGGTCTCCGTGTTTAACTACCACCCTCGACATCATGCGGATTGCGCCGGTGACTCCGGTGAGGAGATTTAACCGAAACACCAGCATGCTTGGCCCGTTCCTCCAAAGCATGGAGCGCCTGAGCCGAAACAGGGTTTATCATTCTGAGGACACACACCTAACAATCTCCACCCCTCTCCAGGCAGCGATCAATCCAGGGGGTATGAATAGAATACTCATATATTCGGGCTAGAATATTCCACCCCACAATGAGGCTTGGAATTCCACAGGAGGGCTATCACATTCCAAATGTGGCCACAAGTGTAGCTTCAAAGCCCATTAAAAGATGTTTGTTTGTTTATACATTCATGTGTTTTTTAAGAAAAACAGGCAGGGAGAAGCTCATTTTAAGCACACATCCTCAGAACCATCTCCCCCTCAGACTATGGGTCGCTCCGAAGCGCGGCGGGCACCAGGGGCGGCGTCGAAGGTCGACTGTGCCCAAGAGGGAGCCCAATGCCAAGATGGCACCCCAGGACGCCCTTGGGGCTGCCGAATTGCTCGGCTCAGTTGCAAGTTTTAATTAAAGCTGCTCCAAATATTGAACGACGACTCAGTCGGCAAACGCCAAGAACTGGAGAGGGTTTACGGCAAATGGGGTGCATTCAGAGGATCAAAATGGGTCAAATTCCAAAAGGATCAGCGACTAATTTAAAACAGAGGCGGGGATTCATCCAAGGTCTCCCATCTGTGGACTTAGATGCTGACAGATCACTCTTTCCATGGCCGGTAAGAGACCCGGCAGGCCTCCAGATTGATCGATACGACCTTAAGTAATTCATGGTTTTGTGCAATATCAACAGTTTTTACCAGTGTTAAGAGTGTTAACGCCCAATAGCGCACTGTGGCCTGGACGCCGTTCACCCCCAGCCTCCAAACTGACCAGGCCCCCCCTCCCCAACCAAGAGGAGCTTGGGCCCCCACTAGGCCACCCAGAGAAATTCGAGAACATCTAGAGAAATTCTACACTTCCGTGAGAACACAGCGAAGAGGATCCCGATCACCAGCTATGGGTCTTTGTGGCGCAGAGGCACCGGGACGGAGCTGGCTAGGTTTGTGGAACCAGGCGCTCCTTAATTACACAAAAAAACACCCCTTTCTCTCTCTCCTTGTGCCTGTACGTGTGGGTTGAAATCTTTCCATCTGGTTCAAATAAAATTCCAATGAATGAGTGAGGTGTCTGAAGCTGGGGGGAAGGAGGCATCTCCAGATGTCAGCTTGACGCTCCAGAAAGCCAGTGCCGACGGATTTCCTGAACTGACAACACAGGAAGGAAAAACAGAGGAAAGAGAATGACGTGTATCAAGCCGGAAGAGAGACCAGCCACAAGCGAGATCCTCTTGGCCAGGATCGGCCAAAACGCCGCCGTGAGTAGCATCTACGGGTGGATCTGGGCCGTGAAAGATGACATGGATGTCTGTGTTCGTCCTGGACCTCTCAGCTGAGCCATAGGGCCCCTCCCATGGGAGCGGCAGGAAGATCTAAAAGAGAGCTTTAATTCCGTCTCTGTCCCTCCCTCTCCACCCGCGACACCCACATGACCGCCAGGTGAGATCACTCCTCTGACGCAGGGGGGGATTGGCAGCCAACCTGTTACAAACACCGCTGGGTTTCGAAAATGTCTACATCATACAGAATGACTGGGGGCGGGGTCCTGTTGGGGAGTCCCATAGAGTGAAAAGCAGCCAATCCAGGGAAACTAAGCACAGAGGAAGCACAGGCGCAGAGTGGGAATGAGTGAAAGCAGGAACTTATCTTTGTAAGAGTGAATGAAAGGTGACCTGCCCTTAGTAAATATGTTCCCTCAAATATAACACACACGCACACATACACATGCTCCCAGCGATGCGTAAGAGTTACTCATCCATACACTTATGCAAGCTGTGGTTTTTTATTTTTTAGGAGAACCACGTTAACCACTTGACTTTATAAATTACATTGGAGAGAGGAAAAAAAAAGAACTTGACAACCTAAATATTTCTCTCTCACTTCTCTGACTACATGCAGTTTCGCAACACGCCTGAAACGCGGCAACGCTCGGAAAACGGGCAGCCGAAGGAGGACGGAGAAAGTGAGCGAGCAAACAGACGAGTGACTGAGGGAAAAATGGATGGATGAAAGCCATCGCGTCCTCAGGAACCAAGATCTTGGCCGGCACAGACGGGAAGTGCGTTTTACTCAATCCAGAGGTTTGAAAATCCAAATCATGTCCCAGGCTGGCTGATGACTAAAGCACCTCCTGTCTCCGCCTAAAGCCAATGCAGGCTGGCCGTATCAGTATCATCAAATACATCCCAGTGAAACCGGTTTCACTTGGCACAGCGGACCCAGAACCAGCCCTCAAAATGCTTACTTGCCTCAAAATACAACTCAGAGTGAAAAATATATTCAAAGAGAAACGTTATTAAGAGATAAATAACCCAAGGACGTAGCCTGTGCAAGTTAAAAGCATCATTTAAAGTAATCTCCATAAATACACTGAAAAGAAACATGTATCCTAGCCACCAACGCCAACAGAATAACAAAGTCCAATCAATAACTGGCTTTAAAAATTCAAAGAATTGGGGGGGGGGGGTTAAGCATATTCACCACCACTAGCAATATTCCCATTTTTTAATTTGCTGTCAGGCTTAATGTGTATTTCACCGACGCCACCCACTGCCCTTCCCTTGCTGATATCATAGATATTTATACACAAGCAAGCTTAAAAACACGCAGCCAGGTGACATCCGCCCGCACCGGTATTTTTTTCAGCTAAAGCGCTGAAATGTCTGTGAGACTGGTAGTTATGTGAAGCCCAAATGACAGAGCCGTGCAGGCCTCATGCCTCCGACCATCATTTGCCCCTGTCGCTTTGTAAATATTTTCCCTGACAGCTGCATCTCAGTGCACAGGGAGGGAGGGGGGTACATCTTGCTGGATGCAAATGAGTAAAGATGGGTCGGCACCGCAAGGATGGGTCAGCACAGAGATACATGGAACAGGGGCGATCTGGAAAGCACTGAGCCCCAAGAGGGCAAAAATAAAGCCCCAATAATAAATCAGATCCAGTCTCCGCTTTTTCACGGATAAAGCCGAAGGCTTCAGCGATCCGAGATCGTATTTCCAAAGGGGAGAGAGAGCATCATGCGGCAATGGAAACAAAACGCGCTATATCCATCTTAACGGTTAACAGCAGCACTTGTATATATAAATATTTAGACAAAACGAGCCGTGCCGGTTTAAAAACGGGCCATAATCCAGAGGATGAGTTTTTTTCCGCCCCTTTTTGTCGCAGAGCACTAAAGATTTTAACGACACATGCCGGGCGCCGTGTAACGTCAGCAGCTACGCAGGGTGGAGACCGAGCAGCTGCACCGTTATCATCATTATTTTCTGTCCGAAGCACACAGATATATGCAGACGGCGTTTATATCCATTGGGGTCCAGTTATCTTGCGTTTTGTAAATCAATCCGACATCATATCGCGTTAAAAATGAGGAATTAATAGCAATTATTCGGAATTGCTTGCGCGAATACACGCCCACATTGACTATTATAGCAGATGCACATGCGAGTTACCGGCGAATGGCGAGCAAACAATGCAGTGGCTGCTTCAAAGGGGCTGCACAGGCCGGGGAACATCCGCGGCGCTTTCCTGTGTCAGTCCCTCCGGCACACACCCCTCGGATCCCAAGGAAAAAACACACACAGCAATGCAGCGGAGCCGGTCGAAGCGATTTATCGGCTCCCAGGTTTAAACACATCATTACCGGCATGATCTCGCCAGCAGTCCGCCGCCGTATATTTAAATATATATATATATAAAACACTCCAAGTAGGCTTTTAGTACAGCATCAGCTATTGTAGTCTCTACGACGAATAAAAGGAGAATGCCGTTTTCGATCCAATACTTCTAAATGTTTTAAAGGATCTCTAGGAGAGGCTTTGTGGACCATCAAGCCGCAAAATGAAGAACGGTTCCGTAGTTCGCCGCATTTTAACCTGCGACTGTTCAGAATGACAACGCCGTTCCCGGTGTCGGTCAAACCCCGAGCGCGTTAAAATCAAAATGTATATTCAAGCCACGATTACTTACTGTCAGCAATCCAAAGGGTTTGTTTTTCGATAATGCTTCTCCCTGCTTCCCGGGAAAGACACTGGCAACAATGGATTAAGAAACGTTGGTGCAGATCCAGCCGTTAATTGAATTGCATGTGTCAGACTCGGTAAAAGCTCGGGATTTTCACGAGCGCCGGCGACTCCCTGGTTCCGTGGCTCGGTACGCAGAGGACTCACGTCCCCACCTCCATTCTCAGGCGGACGGGAGCACGGATTGCTGCTGGGCGGTCTGTGCGTCTGGTTTCCTGTCCACCCCAGAAATCAACAAAAGCCAATAATACAGCGTGGCTAAACCGTGCCACGAGTAACGCCCATCGGTGCTAGACTGCCCTCATCTGGACGGGTAGAGACAAAGCATTTAACACACAGTGGAATAGATGATTATTCTTCTTGACTGAACTACGAATGTTTAATGAGCGTTGCACTATTCAGTGATATACTGACGTTATTTTGCAATTGATGTTGCACATATCGATACATTATTTATGGATTAAATCAATAATAATAGCAATTAGATTTATTTGTTAAACATTGTAATGTATGCATTCAAATTTATGAGTTTATTTATGTCGGACTGCAAGTTGCTAATAGGGTTGTACAGCGTATTATAGATGCAAATTTAAATGCTGCTTTTGAAACTAATGCACCCGTAACATCTTCAGTGGGCCAAAGACGGGACAGTCGAGAGGAAATCTTGATTTGAGTTGCGGCGTGCGGTTTATTTACGTCTTAAAGTTAATAAGGAGATAAAAAAGTGACTAATATTTGTTTAAAAAATTCAAGGAATGGTAAAAGAAGATATTCACGGTGCAAACAGGTGGACTCGAGTCTGATTGTAATTAATGAGGGCTCCAATCCATTAACTGAGGCTAACGTTACAGCTTTGTGAGGACAGGGCAGAGGTTAGCGCGGTTCTGGGCGTAAAATGACACGTGCGACTGAAGGAGATGGTTTTGGGTGACATCATAATCACTCCCCCTGCCCCACAAAACCGCCACATCAAACAGGTCAGTGGCAACAGCACACCTTACCCCCTAGGCTGAGCTGTGACCACCGTATTCAGAGTCGTACTGATCCTTTGATCAGGGAAACCTTTGTCGCCTTTGAAACATAGAATGTCTGAATTCTTATAGAGGTTTTGTGTGAAAGCATCTGCATAAAGCACGTGCTCCACAAGCTACAAAGTGTGGCGGGTTCTGCAAGGTCGTGCCACTCACTGGTGGGGGGGGAAAATGTATCAAAACGCTGGCTTACAATAAAAACAAGAACACGCGTGCGTCAAAACAGACGGGCTTTCTGTAGCTAGACCTCACACCCGCATTTAGCTCAAATGATGTGGACAGGGAACAAACTGTACAGTGAAGTTACCGTGACTGGGGCCACCAGTGCATGGGAAGAACCATTCGGGCACGTGGAGAGGGAGTGGCTCTAGTTTACGCAGAGTAAATGTTTTGTAACGACTATATGTAGACATATTTCATAGTACATTACATGGAAAACATCATGTCCTCCCAAACCGAGCCTTGCACTGTTAAAAAAAGAAGGATCCAGAAGCTGATTACAGGGGAGGCTAAATACTTCCCAGTCCCTGAAATTGCGGCATTGGTGAACACTGGGTGTTATGATTTGCTCTCTTTCACTTTTTATATATATATATTTATAAATTTAGTTTTCTAAATTTAAACATTCAGATTTTTATTTATAGCATGTCATGTATTCAGTTTTGTGTACTGCATCACTAACAAGTCCAGCAGTTTTTAAGAAAATCAGCATTTCCGTTCTGTGTGAATGTCCTTATATCTATTAATTTCTCCTTAGTCGAGAAATTAATTTCTCGTGGAGCTGGATAGCTTAATGGTTTGGTGATTGTGTTGCGGTTTTGGAGGACTTTGGTTCGTGCCTGGGGATGGTCACATAAATGCTTCGGGCCCTAGAGCGAGGCCCATAACCCCAGCAGCCCCAGGAACTGACTGACCCCTGCTTTTTCGCTTATATGTTGTTTTGGATAAAAGCATCTGTTAAATGAATTCGTGTAAATCTAGCTGTATGCTCCACTTAACCACACGCTGGGACTCTTATCTGCTTGTGAGTAAACTACCACTTTTGTGCAGCACGTGTGCCCTCTACTGTCTGAAATAGGTATAGTCATTTCTCTTTTACTGTAAACCAGGGGCGGGCAATTTTTTCCACAAAGGGCCGCTGTGTATGCTGGTTTATGGGATGACCTTTAGGTCAGCTGTTCAAACCCAGGTTTGAGGACTCTTCAGCCAATCAGTCCTCTAATCAGTAATCCAGTTAGGCAGTTGCAGTGAAAACCCGCATACAATGCAACCCTTTCTGGATAGGATTGCCCGCCCCTGCTCTAAACCAATGAGTAAATGACTTCTTAGTGCTCTGCTCCAATTTGGAAGGCTTTGGAAGGTGAATTGGTCTTTAAATTGTCTGTGGTTTGTAATTGTGTGAATAAGCTTGCACTCTGCCATGTCAGGCCATCCCGAATGTCACCTGTCTCTGTCCCCACTGCCTCCTGTGACAGGTTCCAGGTCAGGTTTCACTACGACCCGCATCTGGATGGATGGATGGAAGGTATAATTATTGCACTTCGGAAAATTCACATTGACATCATCCCGCGACCATTTGGTAAATGGCTCTCGTGGTTCACAGTCACTCGTCCTTTTCCTGGCTGAGGACTCTGCGTCTTGTCTTTCTGCAAACCCGTCTGCCTGCTTCACTTCACCTCCAAGCCTCCCCATCCGCCAGAGGAAGGGCAGACGGCAGCTAGAGGCAGGACGGGCCTTTTCCAGCCTCTCATCTCATCCCTCTCCACTTTACCACTAGGGACAGACATGAGCAGTGAAAATCAAAGACTGTTGTAGATCCTCCTCATAAATTGAAACATGAAAGCTGGGGATAGCTGAGGTCTGCATCTGCACCCTTTCAGAATCACAAAGATTTCAGAAGTCAATCACAAAGATATAAGGAATCTTTAAAGTCCCACCTGTTTAGATCTCATCTCTCATTATATAGTTACCATATCACCAAATATATTCCTAAGGTAAGAGACTAGACTGTCCCCCTTGACTGCTTCATGACCCGACCCCATCTCCCCCCTGCTTTACCTTTATTGAACCTCTGTTCACTTCTCTGTTACGTTCAGCCATCCCAACAGCAGCTCACTAAAAGGATCAAAGTCACCAACAGCTGGGATCCGCATCGCAAGTCCAGTCATTGGTTCATGCCGGGTCAGGCACGGCTAAGCCCATTGGACGCCGCCCCTGATTTTCCACAGCATGGCTGCCAGCACTGCAAGCCTCCGTCATGGCTGTAGCGAGTCCAGCTTTCCGGATCCCTGGAGCCCCGTCCGCCGCTGTAACCTTCATGCTCGCCTTGCTTGCACGGACATTGCACGGCTGCAGCAATCCCTGCGGGGCCGTCTTTGGGGATTTTCGAGGTGCGTCACATTCTGCTGCTCCTCACGACTTCCTGGATCGTCAGCAGCACGTCAGCAGGATCGTCCTCCTGCGGGAGTCACTGTCCATGCTAGGCCTTCTCCCGCATGCGTTTAACAGACAGAGGCGAGTACAGAGCAGAGCACAGGGTCATCCGGGTGTGAGTACCTGACAGGAAAACAAGTCTGCGCATGAGCACAGAAGGTAAAGTGTTTATACAGGTATTGCTAACAATGAGGTAAAAGCTGAACCAGTTTACGTGTGTCGAGTATTTGGGCTGAGATGTTTCACATCTTCCAGGACCATGCCACTCTGTCCAAAACAGTGTTTCTCAAACCAGCCCTTCCACGTGAGTTGGGAGAGAGCAAAAATGTGCATAGTCTGAGGATCCATGAGAACTGGTTTGAGAAACACTGGTCTCGACAACCAGTGGTAAATATGATCCTTGCATGTAAAATTCCAGCCCCAGTGTGTGGATGGGTGTCCAGCAGGGGACACACAGAGGAGAACTGCACCTGCCGTGGACTTCTGCTCCCTGTGCTCATCTCCAGGGTCAGCAGACACAGTGACATACGTCGGTCTCTATGGTGATGGGACTCCAGACTCCGCATCAACTGGAAAATCCACATTTAATTTAAAAGACATCAAAGCATCACTGTATCCCTCCTGTCCTATCGAGTGCCCCCCCCACCCCACCCGACTCCACTCTGCAAATCAAATTCTATCTACTGTTCCACCCATATTTCTTCAGATTGAAAATACCAACTCATCTGAGGGGGAGGGGGGGGGGCAATGTGGCAATGTATCATTTCAGCTGGCATCCTACAATTTATAGCCACGCCCCATACTGACTAAAAGTTCTCACTGGAAATCACTATTCGCAAATATTTCCACATGACATGACATCTCCCGTCCGCCATAGTTACGACATAGAACAGGCCACACGCCACAGTATATTTACATTTTCCCCTCTTATCTGCTCCTGCCAGCATCGACACCAACAGATCAAACCTATCCATGTTCATGTAATCAAGCATATAATGATCATCTATCAACACCCAGATCGTTTTCTTTTCTTCCAGATCAAACATTTAGATAATTGTACTGAGGCACCTTAACACGACACACCACACTGGCAAATCTCCAAGACTCACCCACTGCTCCCATCTCACCGCTGATTTGTCTCTTAGAAAATATCATATTTTAACCAACCCTTAGCACCAAGTACCATTTTGTAGGGGGACATGGGAGGATGTCCCCTCCCAGTAACCTACTGGTTTTGCAGTGTCCCTCATCCCTCAAGATCCAAACACTAATCAAGTTTCTTCTTCACTTCACACAGTGTCTCATTGATGGTGGAGAGTCCATGGGTCAGATGTAAGGATGATAAGGCAATAAAATGACAATTTATTTGCTTGTCATGCTGTCTTTCTCCCTGGGGGAAGCAAAGACTCACATGCAGCTCTTCTGGACGTTTCTGAATGGGACCTCATCATCTCCAGGATCCCCCAGCACATCATGCAGGACCATCATCCCCGCTGGCCTGCAAGAAAAATGGTGTAGAATCACAAATCTCAGCTTTTATAGACTCACTGGCTGGGTAGAGATCAGTTGTGAATCTACACCATGACCTAGACGTGGCCATGGTTGTTTCACTGCCACTCAGCAATGGAAGCAGCCGAACCATGAGATCGGCTCTCATCACGGATTCTGGCACACAGGGTGAAATTAACCCCATTCTTGCTGCAGTGTACTTGGTGGGACAACTGAAAAAAATGAAATTTTTAAATAAAAATTTTTTTTTTACAAAAGTCTGTCTGTTCGGATACCTATAGGATTCGTA